ATAACTTGCATCCCTAATTTATACAGGAATTAAATTAATTTATATCTACTTATATTTATGTAACAAAGTGTTTTTATGATTTGGCCTATTAATCAATTAATCAAAAAATAMTTGACAGATTAATCGATTATTAAAATAATCGTTAGTTGCAGCCCTCAGTAGTAATACTCTGCACTTATGAGTACTTAAAGAACAAACTTACTGAACTGCTCCTCCAGCGTGGGGGAGGACTTCAGATTGCCCTCTGCGATGTAGACGGGGAAACTGGAGCATTCCAAGAAGAGCTGACAGGCAGCAGTGAAGGCAGCAACACACTGTCTCTGGATGGTCTCAGATTCTGAGCATAACTCCAGAGGGTCTCTGAGGTGAGATTTATCTGAAGGCATCAGCTCCCCTCTCTGACCCTCWGCCCTGTCCACCTGTCCAGGTAAGATATACAAGGTGATGTGGCGAGACAGAAACTGCTGGAAGTGTTCCAGGCAGCACTGCATCACTGGTTTATCCGGAGTCTTGGCGGGACAGGGGCCTGCGAGGCGACCGCCTGTTTTATACGYTGGGTGAGGGGTCCGCTCTGCCTCCTCTGAGCCGTCTTCCTGGTACTGAACAAAGTCTGAGAAACCACTTTCAGGGGAGCGACTGACGGGAAGGTTTTCCCCATCATCWAACACATCCCCACTGCCAGGTACCTCCAGAGTAGAGGGCAGAGGCTGTCGTGGAGAAGAAGGCAAGAAAGAGTCCATTAAATCTGCAAAGACTGGAGATGTTTAACATTATTTTTATAATTTTTTTATTATTAGTCATGCTAAAAACGTGACTGTTTTGTGTGTTTAACCTTAGATTTGTGGTCACATGGTAGAGATAACATTTATCGCATTACCACCCCAAGACACCCATCCCTAATGGGTTTGAGCTTCCCTACCTCAACACGGCAGGTCAGCGCTCAATTTCTGAATGGCCAAAGCCACATAACCAATGGTTACAATGATTGATTAGGCCTTAATGACAGAATTATTCTTTCAAATCCTCGCCAAGTTGTTCATCATAATGTTGTCCATTTTCCACAACACTGTGTGGTTTTGACCATTGCTAAATACAGGACGTGTRTCAGCTTTCATTAAATCACCTTGAGTAGAACAGAAGTTTTGAGAATGGTAAATAGCTTGAACATATAAAGCACTTTATCAAGTGCCTACATACTGCAAAGCACTTTACACTTCAATCCTTCACGCACACTGATGATGGTAAGCTACATTGTAGCCACAGCTGCCCTGGGGTACGTTGGTAGAGATGAGGCTGTCATGCACCGGCACCACCGGGACCTCTGACTAACACTAGAAGATTTACGGCAGGGGTGCCCAACCTTTTTTTGAACCAAGAGCTTCTTCTGAAGTAGCCAGTTTGCCAAGAGCTACTTGTCCAGTCTCAGTATCAAAAAACATAATTTTGTCTCCCTACTYCTCACTTATTTAAAGTAAATAAAACAGAATGCAATGTGTTGCTAGTTTTATTTAATTTAAAGTATTGTCAAACAAAACTATCTACTTAACCAAATATTTACCTACAAAAAAAGAAAAGACAAAATCCTTATTTAACTCCTGACAGAGAAACATAAAAGTGATGCTCGAACAAAAAGGATCAATTTTTTTTACCTCATTCAATTAGTACTCCTGTAACGTGTGAGCTATGAGGGCTAAAAACATGCCCAGTGAGAACCACAGAGTCACATAACTTTGGAGCATGGGAACTCATCTCCATTTGTTCAAAGAACTCTCCTCTCTTCTCTCCATACAGGGGAGGAAAAACAAAATAAAAATCTATCAGAGTCAACATGGCTACCACGAGTACTGCCCTTTTTTTTTTTCAAAATCAAAGCACACAATATAAAACTCTCTCGCAGGCTGTTATAAAACCCGGTGCTGAGCTTCCAGGACCGGTTTCACCTGATCAGATCAATTTAGAGTTTATCTGCAAAAAAGGTTGATTAGGGGTTTAGTTACACTGTATCAGGACAGTTCCAATGCTCTTAAGATGGGTTTGAATTATTTGAAAAGACTGTCTATTTTAAATGTARTTTTGTTGCACAAAGCTTTAGAATGTTCCAAATTTAAGCAATGAGGCTGCAAATCTTTGTAATTCAAGCAATGAATCGGAGAATTCTTCAATGTGGACACTCCAAATGGTCGCCAGCACTCTCAGCTCAGTGAGATGGTACCTTTAGAAAGTCTAAAGTCTAGAAGAAAGCCTGTTTTCAGCAGTGAAGCTCCACAATGATGAATGAATATGATAACTTCTTGTGTTCTGTAAACTGGTGGRCACAGTTGCTGTGTCTGACTTGAGGGACTTTTCCAGACTCAACGCGACACCAGAGGAGCCTCTTGTTGCAAACGGACCAACAGATTCAAGTCTTTGTCCCTGAGGGCTTCCTGGAAAACATTTGGATTGAGGCAGATCACACTTCCTGCAGCTTGGACTCAGATGGCAGTTTGAACCTACTCTATGTGCCCATCAGGGCGGGGGCAGGGGCATTACAGTATTTAGTGGACATATCCTCTATGTTTCCACTCTGGTGGRCACAACACACCCTGGAGGAATCTCAAGCTAGTTTACTCATCTACTTCCTCAAAGGGAAAAAAGAAGGGCTCAGCTGTTGGGTATTCATCTTCTAGCTTTTTACTCATCCTTCTCTCTCCATCATCAGGGATCTATCTCAATCCATCCTGCCCCCGATCCATCTCTGGGAGAAGAACTCTGAACTTTCACTCACAGCTCAATGAATCTAAAACCACTTTAACAGCCAGGTTGTTGGACAGGGACCAGAAGGTTCAGAACTGAGCATTTGTTCTGAACAAGTCTTCAAATGCTTCGTGTCGGGGGAGCTTTGAACGACCACCCAGCCAACTGTGCTGCAGGCTGAGAGGCCGGCAGGAGGCAACAGGAGGCCCTGTTCAGGGACCAGGACACACCATCAGAGCTTAAACTACAAATGTTTTGGACTGGAACTTGTTGGGGAAGTGGGTGAAAGAGAGAGAACATTGGAACTTTAGCAGTACCCTTTTTTGCCTCAAAAGGTTTTTAAAAGATCACAGAAATAAAAGACATCAGCAAGGGTTTTTTCATTTTTAAATCAAATATTTAACAGCATAAACTTTTCTTTTGATGCTCATTTCAAAGCTGCATCCCAACAGAGGAGGTACTCTGGTTTGATAATTTACTAAAGTTTTGTTCCTCACCCGTTTGTCCTCCACGTCTCTGCTCMTGTCCCATGCTGAGTTTGAAGAGCTGCCAGCGTTGGGGAGGCCCTGAGCTTGTGAATTTGTGGGCAGGACCAGAGGGGACACCAGAGGTGGCTGCACTTTGCTGAGGATCTTGGAACAGAGCCGGAGACATTGAGTGAGCTCCACAAGGCCCAGAGCCTGCAGGTGACTCGTCAGAGCCGCAACCATCCTTAACAGCAGCTGAGGTAGGTGCTCCGTCTGGATTTCTATGTACGTCTCCTAGAAATGTTGAAAAGAAAGGACAAAACCTAATGATGTAAGAGCATTAAGTTCATCAAAAACTATTTAGAAGTAGAGAATTTTTTTTATTGTTAACATTATTTTATAGTTTGTTAGGTCTGTTAGCCGATAATGATCCTAGATTTTGTTTTCTCAAAATACCCATGGAAGCACCATTCTTTTAAAAATAACTGCTGCTTCTACTTTAAACATATCCTGATTCTTTTGATTAAAACCTGTACAAATTAACAGCCACAGTTTAAAGTTTGGACACAACTACACATTTATATGCACCTAATCAGAATAAAGTGGGTTTTTTTTTTCATTCTGATGAGCAAAACACACTTACAAAACAAATAAAAACCTCATCTAAATGAGAAAATAAGCGTTAAATGAATGCAATATAAATGCATGCATGCAT